CCTCCTCCCCCGCCGCTGTCGCCCGGACCTGCGCGCTCTGAGCATGCCCGGGGCGGGCGCCCGCCGGGAAGTGGGGTCGCAGGGTCTGCGGTGGGGCGCGGGGCACAGCCGGCTGCCCCCAAATCTCCGCGAATGAGAAGTACCGAGTCCAGCCTCACCTGCTCTGCTCCCGGCTAAAGCCCCCACTGGGATAGGGACTGGGAGAGGGAACCTTCTGCCTCGAGGAGGGAAGGGCCTGGAGACCGGGAATGTGGAGAAGAGAGTCCTAAAGAAAGACGCTCTTACCCCAGGGGGGTCCCAGGCTCCTGTTTAGCAGGGATCCCCTAAGCGAACTTGTGATGTGCCCAGATATAAGTGGTAGAGAGGCTTCCATTCATTCGTCCCACTGGAGTTAACTGAGCACCTATTATGCTTCAGCCCCTATGCTGGGTTCTGGGGACACAGCAGCCAGGATAGAAAGCCAGCAGCATGTTCCCCCTCCAATGAGCTTACATTCTGTTAGGGGAGCCCGCCATGACCCGGAAGACACATGGACAGGTGGGTGCTGTCTCAGGTGGTGATAAATGTCAGGAAGAAAATAAAAGGCGGTGGAGGTGAGCAGAAGGGAAGGAGAGAGCTTTTTAGGTTAAGGGCCCTAGGAATGGAGCAAGACCTGAAAAAGGAGTTACTGGCCTGCTGAGGGTAACATTCGGCCAGAGGACTAGAGAGCCTCTACATGGACAAGAGGGGCAACACAAGGTCCCCTGGGGTCTGCCAGGCTCTGAGAATCCTAAGGTAAGCACGCCTGGGCAACCAGACCTGGGGCTCAGAGGATAATGGTGGCCACTGGGAAAGAACCACCTTTCCTACAGAGGCCTCTGGACAGGTCAACAGTGTAAGTATCAACATTCCCGGCAGGTCAGTGGAACGAATGAGGCTCGTGGTGGTCAGGTCCCATGTCCAGGTCACACAGCCAGTGAGTGGCTTGGAGAGCTCACCGGCAGGCTACTGCTAGCCTCTAACTGTGCTGAGCTTGGGAACACCGTAGAGAGAGCCACCATCTGGGGCTGGAGGCGGGTTGGGGGAACTTGGCAGGACTTGGCTGCTAAACTGAGTCCAGAGACTGACGGCGGGGGAGTAAGTGCATGGTGGGAAAAGCATACTGGTCAGAAGGAACAGAGAGGCAGGGCAAACACTGATTCCAAGGCCCATGAAGGCAGGATCCGAAAAACAGGAGATGGGCCCTGAGGGCGTAGTGCACTGAGCCATCTGTCACCTGGGTCCTGAGCTGTCCAGGTAATGCCAAAACTCCCAAGTCTTGGAGGGTCTTTGCATCTTCCTTATCCTACATGGGTACAGTGCTCTCCAGATACCGAAGCACCCCCAGAATCTGATCCTTAGCCTCTCAGATCTCCTAACAACTCTCCAAGGGACAGAAGTCCCCATCTCCCGTCGGTCAGAGTTACAGAGGAGAGTCACCATGGCGATTCAGATTCAGGGCTGCAGGCAGCTTCTTCTGGATCACACAGCAGCTGTCAGTGCATCTGCAGGCTAGTCCAGGCACTTTGGTGCCCCTGAAGAAGCTTGTGGCAAAGCCACGGAGCTGCCTTTGAAGGGCCGGTCTCTTGTCTCATCAGACTTCCATGCTACCCTACCCTTCCACTCCTGCCTGAAAACCGCACTGACCTGCTCCACTCTGCAGCCCCTGCTGCTTGCTCCTCCCTTGAGGTTCCATGTCAGCCTCCCATGGAAATGCAGGTAGGATGCTTGGTGATGTGGCCTCTGGTTGGAGATGACATTTGTTCCTTTTCCAGTAACTCATCCTGCACACCTCCCACACCTAGAAAATACCTGATGGATAGATTTGCAAACCCCACGTTTTCTTTTAGCAAACCCTAAGGTAGAAAGGAATGCACCTCATTACCAAAGTCTAAGAAATCCAAATGTGCATATTAAACCTCTCAGGAAGCTAAAACAGGAATATTCAGTTGCCAAGGATGTCTTCGACTTAAGCTTTGAAACCATCCTTAGTTGCAGATGCTTCCGTGGAAAAGTGATTTTGTTTTAAATAGCAGTGGGATGAGATAACAGCCTAAATTCAAATCGCATTAGAGCGTTAAATCCTGTCTTCTCACCTCCGAATGTAATTAATTGTTATGACTCAGTAATACAGCTTTTAGTTTGGAGTGTGGTGCTATTTAAAGAGAAAAAGCTTCGGCTGGGTAGAGATTGCTTTCAGCCACCTTTCCCACTTTGCAGACATATTTGGTAAAGTAGAGAATGTGTTTAAATCAAATGGCATTCGTGTTTCAATTACCTTTATGCCTCCAACCAGGAAACTAGGTGAGGGGAGGAGGAGGAGGCAGCTGGAGGCTGGTGAGAGGTGACAAAAGGAATGGGACAGCTTCTTCCCAGAGATCCTGCTCCTGTCTCCTATTCAGGAACAACCTGCCAATAGAGGGTTGAATGAAATAGAGACATCTACTGGTTAGAGGTGAGAAGTGCATCTCTCCCAGCTCTTCTAACCTCACTCTTCCTGATGAGTCTGAAAATACTGCAAGCAGGTTTGTGTAAGCAAGGATTGTTCTGAAAAACAGAACCACTCCTGAAACATGCAGAAGGTGTTTTGTGCAATGAGTGGCACATATTTATGTGCCTCATTTCATGTACTCCTCTCCTACAGTTATTTAAGCAGGTCTAATCTTGCTAATAAATACCATTTCAAGGAAAATAACAACAACAAAAAAATTGACAAGGCCCAGATGAATTATAAACACAACGTTTGATCCAGCAACTAATTATGACCATCCCCAGAAATGGTATTAAGTCAGATTTTATCTAATTCATGATTCTAGATGTCCGAATCAGGATAATGGTGAATTAGATTATGGTTTAGTTTATCAAAGAAATATTAAAAAATAGTATGCACCCATTCACAAGGATGATTATGAAATTGTGCTGCAGCTGAAAAATGCTTATGATATATAGTTTCTTAAAGTAGGCTAAAATGTGCATAATTTGAATATATATGTAAGATACATATAAATCTCAATAAGGACTGGGGAAGAACTAGGACAATGGGGAGATTCAGATAAAATTATAACCTTCAAACTATCTAAGGTGACAACTTTTGGCATGTCACCTGCATTGCCGAGCCTCTCATTTTTCTTGTGTAAAATGGAGGATAATACCACTTACTACTGAGATTCCGGGAGTAGTAAGTGAGTTAATATGTGCTACATACCTGACACATGGCACATTAGTTTCATCCCCATTACGTTTCTCCCCACTTTTGATTATTAAAGTGATCATATTCTCACAAAGCGTCCCATGCTACCTGTGGTTAAGTCATTTCCATTTGGAATATTTGTAGATTTCAATGATTTGATTTAGCTGCTCAAATGAAAGCCCACTTACAATTCTAATTTAAGCAGGACGTCTATGGTTTTATGTTTAGCAGTGAGCATTAGTAAACCCTTCTTATGGCATCATTAACCTTATTTCAGCTCAGATAAGCAATATCGAAAAGTCTGAAAGTTCCAGGCCAGCCCCATAGCACAGAGGTTAAGTGCCATGCAGAGGGAACGGATCCCACATGGCTGATCATGGTTTGAATTCCAGCCTGGCAGCTTGAAAACCATGCCAGGCACGCTCATGTGTGTCCAGGATCATGATGGGATGGAGTAATGGAAGGAGAAAAGATTGCAATGAGACCTGCTCCCATGGCAGGGCACTTTCTCTCTCTCTTTCTCTCTTAAAACACACACATACACACACACACATACACACACACACGTTCACATGGCCTTTGGCCAAGAAGAAAAGCTGAAAATTCGTTAAACCATTGAAAGCTACCATAGTGATGGAGCTCTGGTTCTGGTCTTTGTCCCACAATGACAAGCATTTATTGGGATATTAAAGTAACCCCTTTCCTTATTTATATATTGGGTAGATTTTTGCCACAGGGCACATGCACTTGCTGATAAATAGAAAGAGGGGATGAGAAATCACCCCCCGGGGGGATGGCCATGCTGCAAGCCTTTCTCTCCCATTCTCATCTCAGGATCTTAGGAACACAAACATACATGCCCAGTGTGATTTTCAAGCTGCCAGGTCCAGGACTCCAACTGTGGTCAGCCATGTGGGAATCCAGTGCCTTAACCACCACACCACCTGTTGGCCCAGTCTTTTTCCTTCTTTAGTTGTCTTTGTTTTTGTTTTTAGGGAGATATTTTTGCTATAGGCCACATGTGCTCTCTGGAGAGACAGAGAGACAGCGAGAAATCACTCCCTGGGTGACCTTCTCCTCTATGCTCCTCTCAGGATTTGGGGCATGCACAATGTACCCTGTGTGAGTGTTTAGCCACCGAGTCCAGAACTCTAACCGTGGATGACTACATGGGAATCCAGTGAAGTAACCATTATGCCATCTTCTGGTCCCCTTTTCCTTTGTAAAAGGAAACCCTCACAGTTCATCTTTGCAAATTTGGTTAAAAGGCCAAATGGTGCAAGACAAGTTCATATGCATGCCTTGACTCTTCTACTCACGGCTCCCTTGTGTTCATACCCTCACTAGCTTTAGCCATGAGATGCATTATTTTTAAATATGGTCACAAAAATCTATTGTCCAGGAAGTCATGCCCCCTGAACCATAAATTGCCTCAAATCTATGTTGGATTTGTAGCTTACCTTGACCAATGTAATGCAGCAGGTGTGAGCCTGTGCAACTTCAAAGCATAGGCAATACAGGGCCTTGTGGCTTCGGCTCTCACACTTTTTTTTTTTGGAGAGGTTTTCACTATACGGTGTTTGCACTCACCAGACAGGCAGAAAGAGACAGAGAGACAGAAAGCAAGAAATCACCCCCCAGGGGGGATGGTCACGCCGCAGTCCCTTCTCCTCCATTTTCCTCTCGGGATCTTGGGCACGCACGCACACGCGCCCAGCATGAGTTTTAAGCCACCGGGTCCGGGACGCGAACCACGGTCAACTACATGGGAGTCGAGCGACATAGCCATTACACTAACTGCTGGTCCCCCGTTCTCACACTCTTGGAACCTGAAACCATTTCATGAAAAAGACTGGACTAGTCTGCTAAAGATGAGAACTAGGTAAGCCAACGGTTAGCACCTGTGACCAGAAATGTAAGTGAGCTCATCTTAGAACACCCAGCTTAAGCCACTAGAGAACAGCAGTCATGTGACGACCCCCAGTGTGACCAGCAGAACTGTTCAGCTGAGACCAGCCCAGATTTTTCTCACCTGCAAAATCATGAGCACATAACATGTTTTGTTTTGTTTTGTTTTTCTTTTTTTGGAGAGGTTTTTGCTATAGGGCGCGTGCGCTCGGCAAAAGAGAGTGACGGAAAGCGAGAAATCACCCCCTACAGGGGATGGCCACACTGTAATCCCTTCTCCTCCATTCTCCCCTCGGGATCTTGGGCACACACACACACACGCCTGGCATGAGTTTAAGCCACCGGTCCAGGACTCTAACCGCGGTCTACTACATGGGAGTCCAGCAATATAACCATTACACTAACTGCTGGTCCCAACATGGTTGTTTTTTAAACCTTACATTTTGGGGTGGCTTGTTAGGTAGTGGCAGATAACAACAGAGATGATATCATGAATAAGCATCAGTCTTCTCCATGAAAGCGTCTATCCTTTCTTATGTGCCCTGATAACCAATTTACCAGCATTGGCACTAAAATGAAGCTGGTAATGTGAAGACACTCTGTTTCTCTGTTTTACTTCTGCTCCCCCAGGTCCCTTATCCATGCTTCTATTCTAGTCTGAGATTACGTCATGCCTATTCAGTTTTCCAGTTTGTCCCTCTGAAAGGAAGACAGGAGGTGAGCTGACTCCAGCCTTGTAATGATCAAAGTCATTTGGGGGCACCATCTGCAATAAAAGTGATGTTATGTGCTTGTTTACAGCCCTTCTCACCCTCTCTGCGATACCGTCTGTATAACCAACAATCTGCCCATTCTTTTGACCCCTACTTCATTTAGAGCCTGGGAGATTGGAGAGTGATGTGCGAGGGGTGCTTAGAGCTGCACTACCACCTCTAGCCCAGAGAGGGGACACTATACTAGTACTGCTTCTGTGGACTACTACCTAAGGGTCCGTGTTGTCCTCCACCATTTTTCTGTCCAATTGACAGCTCTATGACCCCAAGGACAGAATGAGGATATGGGACTCATATGAAGCTACACGGTATGCTGTCTTCTCACCTCATCCTGTCTTCTTCTGAGCCAATTTCACACACAAAAAAAATCTTTCTTTGCTCCTATTATTTTTCCTCTTTCTTCCTGCTTCCATTATCAAAGCTAAGAATTACCTATCCTCAAACCTATAGGAAATGTGTTGGGCATAACTTAGAGAAAATATGGTGTTCTAGAAAAAAAGACCATGGTGGGAAAGATGCTTGCTGATTTATACTGGCCTTTGTTTAAGTCAAAACCTCCATGTACAGTTCTGTGGTATGAAACCTGCCTCACTGAACATGGTAGCCCTGGCTAGACTACCTGTCCATGCAGACCTAGTTCAATAAATTGTAAGGGCGTGGCCTCAATATAGTTGTTGGCCTATAGATGAGAATGAACAAACTCAAGCTGTAGTTTCAGGTGGAGAATTGTAGAAGCTCTGACTACATATTTTGGGCTCTGTTACACTAACCATATTGTTGATGGCAAAAAAAAAAAATGGATCTGAAAATCATTGGTGACTTCCAGGAGTACACGCAATGTTCAGGACTTATTTGTCAGTAGGGGTATATGGAGGTTGTGATATGCCATCCTGATACCCTTCAAAAGACTGAGCCCATTGCCACCGCAGCCAGGAGTATTGGACAAGCGAAAGGTGTGAGTCGCTGTCCCTAGCTGAGTCCCTTTCTCTCAGTTTTGCCTTCAGCCCATGGAAGCTGACTTGTCTGAGGTTATGCTCCCCACCCCCCAGCACATGCACCCATTGCAGCCCATTTCTAAAGACTGGTTGGTTTGGAGTGGAAGGGCCTCAGTTGGGGACAATTGTGGAGGGTCATTCTCCACTCGAGAACCTCCTATTCCATCAGCCAGAGCTCAGCCACAGCTGCTTCACAGTTTAATTCATCTTCTCGTCCAAACTTCTTACTTCACTGGCTGACAGACTCAAACAAGGATTTGGGAGCTGCACCACCCACTGGGTAGCAGTAGGTAGAGTACTCTGACTTCTGGAAGGCAGTAGTAAACCAACGGTTAAAACATCCACTGGTAGTGACCTGGAATGGGATATAAAGGGAAGGTAATGCACTGAGTGGGGTACAATGTCTCAGGAATTAGAGACATTTGGGGGAAACAGCGATTATACGGACTAGGGGAGAGAGATGGCTGCTGCTAAGTGCTGAGGTTGTATTAGAGGAAGCTAAAGAAATGCTGCTGGGGGACCAGCAGTTAGCATAATGGCTAA